ATGATTGAATGAAAGGCGGTAAGTGGTTTTGGCGGAAACCAATCATGGAAAAAAAAACGCATAAAACGGTTAACGAGCAACAAACTAACTGAAGCCGAATTCGCCAATATTTATTTAATATGTACCCAATACATATTAAATATATAGCTGTGTATGTTCCAAACCAATCTTTTTCAAATCCGTTTTCGACAAAACGTATACTCGGTGTAATGAAAATCAACTAAATCCGAAACTTCGAATAAGTAAATTTTTTTTCTTTCAATACTGTTTTTAAATGCAAATACAAATATTATCATAAATATTTGCATGTAAAATGGTTGTCACGCGTTTACGCACGAATTGGCTGTGAGTAATATGCGAACAAAGTCTCTTGTTGTGTATTAATACCGTGTGGAGAAACTATTGTATACGGGCACTATTTACTCTGGAACTTACTATCCCCCAAACAAAAATAAAACGTCCCAACGACCAATTGCTTGCTGTTGTAAACACACCTGTTTACGTTCCGATCCTATAGATTGTTTTCCCCTTTTTACATAAACATAAACAATGGGATCTATTAAGTAGGACAAATAATTTGTTTGGACGTTTTTTCTATTACGAATTAAGTTGAAGGCTGGAAAACAATTGATTTTCTAAAAATAAATCATTTATAGATTTTTCGTTGTTAGAACACCAATTCGATAACACAAAAAAAAGGCTCCATAGGTAAAAAAAAATATTACAGGGTGTTTAAACAATTTGGAAACCCTTGATTTCATAGCCTCTTTTGATTTTTTTTAAATTTTGACTTTTGCGTGTTAGTAGGTGTAACTTTACGCACATTTTAAGCCTAAATCCAAAGTTCAACCTTATGTAGTTTGCGCATGCGCACTATCGACTTTTGAAATTCAAATGGAAACCACTATATTTTTCGAGATATTCTGTTAGCGTTTAATATTTTAAAGACAAAAATATGAAAAATAAATTTTTATACTTAACTGTCCAAAAGTTATAGCTGTTTAGAGTTTAAATTAGTGCACTTAAGAAGCATTTATTAGAACTAAATAATTTGTTTTAAAAAAAAGTGTAATATATTATCTGAACTATATTATTATTCACTCATACGCAAACCACTTAAGGTGAAATTTTGTATTTAGGCTTAAAATATGCACAAAGTTACGCCCAACAACATTCTTAGGTCAAAATTAAAAAAAAAAACAAATGCGTCTCTGGAAATCAAGGGTTTCCAAACTTTTTTAACACCCTGTATGTTTATTATATTATGGCAAAAGTCATAACTCGGCTATAATTTTTCTATCTCGATAAGCAAAGTTTTTTTACCCGTACAAAACGGCCATATGATAAATGGTTAGGTGGTTTCAGAAAAAGAGCGGATATTTCCCTCGTCTACTTCCACCCCCTCGTCGTACTCCGGTTATACCCTCTTTCGATAATGTTATAGAATGTACCATAATAATAATAAAATGTGTATGTGTGTATTTTTATTATTATTATCATATTCGTCGAGAGGTTACTATTATTATAACGGCGTGATGACGCAAGTAGGTAATGTATAAATTATTACATATAGAAGAACCCGTTATATCCGACAGCGAACCGACGGTGGACGCTATTTTGTGTTGCGTATAATAATAATAATAGAACATGTAGGTGTATAATATGATTGCTATGCTTACACTGATAGGTATATCACCGACTAACCGCAACCCTGGTCGGTTTTCATTCAGGTCAGCCGGAACGCACGTCGGTGGTCGGATAAGTAAAACGCTGCCCGAATGACGTTTACCAGATTAATCAAGTCCGAACGAAGGGCTGTTTTTGTTGTGCTCTCGCCAAAACTCCAGGCAATTTTGGCCTTAAACCGTGATCTTTATGGCACACTATTACCCGTCCGTTTTCCCCGGGGGACACACACAGTACCACTTCCTCCTACTCATAACCTGTACGTTTAAACGATGATTTCCACTAGAATTACTGTCGCTGATGTTATTTTCATAACGATATAGTTCGTACCGAACGATTGCGGATTCTTGTCTTTTTGATGAAATATTGATATCGTTAAAAAAAAAAAAAATTAATTTAAAATCCTTTTGATGTATTTTAATAAACAGAAATATGTCATATCAGCAATATTTGAATTCAAAATAATCAAATAGCAACTTAGGTAAATAGATTTACCTATGACAAGCACAACGGTGTAATTTTTTAAAGTTAGAATTTTGTTAGAAACTTTTTTAGCTACTATAATTATTTTATTGAACAAATCACTGTAAAACGAAACTTGAAAATCCCTGTTATGTTGCACTAACAATGATAATAATAATAACAATAACATACTAATCACCGACAGAACCTCACTCCCTTCCAATTGTTTCCTGATAAACAATTGGCCGGTTTTTAACCGCCGAGTAAAACTTTTATCGATGACAACCAAATAAGGATGACAAGTGACATTTTGTTGTTTTCAAAAAAATAGTTAATTCATTTTTAAATCAATGTTTAAAGGTAAGGGCTATAAAAAGTTGTGGAAATATTCAATGATTCAGAATGATGTTAAATGGGATTGATATTTATGGGTAATGTGTATTGTCATTTTCTATGAACACTATTTTTCGAAGCCGTATTCATATGGAATATTATGTTTTTTTGTAGAATACTAACATTATGGTACTTGGAAAGACAATATTCTGTAATTGCAAAAACATAAAAGTTATTGCGTAGGAAAATTATTAATTGGAATTTATAATGGCGATATAAATAAATTCAAATATATTTTTTTAAGGCAACAATTATAACTTGAATACATCAACTTACATTATTTCTTCAGTGAAAACATACTAATTGAAATAAATGAAAATATTTTTATTGGAATAAGTGGTTATACCTTTGTAATATAAACATATGAAATGCATTTTGGTTGGTATATTAAATTGCTGTGACATATTTCAACTCATAAATTGGTTAAAGTTTGTACAGTGTATATGTCATTTAAAATATTTACAGAGTTTTCAGTTACTATCTATATTCACATATTGGCGTAACTAAAAAACCATGTAAATATATTACAGATTATTATGGTCATAAAATCACATTACAGTGTGTTAGTAATTCCAGCTTGATACTTCTTACCTCCAACATAAGGAAACTTATATTAATTCTAATAAAATATTATAAACAATATCTTTTTCTAACAGTTTTTTCTTTCATTTTAACATTGTTTATAAAACAAAATAAATGACGTACATTTCAACAAAAATATTTACCACGTTTTTATACAGCATCATTATAATTATTCCAATTAAATATTTTTCTAAACAGTAGTTATGGCATTTTAATTACTCAAAATTCCGTCTAATTTACAGACCTTTAATCCTAAAACTAAGTTCTTACCCCTATTGTGAGGAAAGGTTAATTTTGATTTATTAGCACATGAATTATGCACTTACAGCCTATAGCTAATTTCTGAGCAAATAATTAAGTATTTTATTTCAATCTAACGCAAAAATATAATGTAACTAATTAATAACTATAGTAGAATTAAAATAAATAAATAATATAACTCTTTGGGTTATCTGCAGAACCGTCAAGATATTAATAGGTTTTTGGTTCCCCACCCTCATCTCATCCGAATACTCACATATATCTTTTCACTTCCCCCATTTGAAAATATACATATATTTTACCCTTTAAAAATTAAACCGGCCGTATAGTAATATAATAATAAATCATATTTTGTACACTACGTTGGATTTTTCCAAAAAAGAGGCTTTTTTCAAATAATTTGTATTATACTATTTTTTTAACGCGCCGTACAATAATGCGTTATGAAATTTTGACAACCTCATTGGCGCTATACATTATATAATATTGTTATTATGAGCAAACTAACAATAAATTATCAAAGCCAAACAACAGTCGCCTCCAATAGATGTTTAACTATTATACAAAACGGAACACCCAATAAACAACATTAATTAATTTTTTTATTCGAAAAATATACTGGTGTTTTACAAAGATTCGACAGATGAATCAATTTTTGTTCTAGTGAATAATTTTAAGATTTTTTTTTTAAATTAATTTATACTCATTTGTACTATAACCCCGCGGCTTTTATTGCTCTAAAATGTCTTATTATTTTTTTTATATTTAAAATAGTCATTTTATTCAGAATATTTGTTAAAAAGAAATTGGCGAACACAAGTTGAATTTTTATTCGACGATTAAAGTTACATTTATTTGAAAGTGATGAAAATTTGAAAATCTTATTCGCGTTTAATGTGGCGGCCATTTAATCATGTTATAAATCAGCGCTGCCGTTCAGTAAACGCTTGAAATACATAAGCACTCTATAGTATAGGTATTACCAAGTACTCTTAATATTTTAAAGATTGACCTTAGGGTCCTTAGAGAAACCATACACTTTACAAGAAAGACAAAAATAGGTTAATATCTTGCAGTTACCGTTTTTTAGCTATGCGAGGTTTCGAAGAAAAATCATTGTACGTAGTCTTGTAAAGAATATTTTACGAACTCTTCAAAGTTTTTTTTTCGTTGTTCTCGTTAAACTTTCCGTTAAAAAATACAAAAATCTCAATTTGAACAATTTTACCCTCTCTCTCTCTCTCTCTCTCTCTCTTTCTTTCTCTCTATCTCTCTCTCACTCGGAGCAATCGTCCCACATTATTCAGTTAGCGGAACTTGGAAGTCGTTCGTGAAAACGGTCAACACTAAACGGTAAAATTGGCTGGTGACCTAAATAGCATCGGGAGTTCTGGTGATATTTTCAAGCATTCCTACAGGTTTCTGATCCAGGGCAACTACGGGGGCAATATTGGTTAACTTCGTATTTGCTATAAGTTCGGTTTCTAGGAACAACTCCTGGATCAAAATTTCTTTTTACGGGAATTCTATTTGGGACACTCCCGGGAAAATGCGGATAAGACCCCTGGAGCTATTGGGGGGGAGGGGGGTATGTTAATTAAAAGGCTGGTTCTTACCGTAAAAACCGGGAATGACTCCGAGCGGCATGACGAACAGACACACCAACAGGTCGGCAATGGCCAGAGACAATAAGAAGTAGTTGGTGACGTTTTGCAGTTGCCGGTCCAAGCAAATAGCCAGACAAACCAGAATGTTGCCCACTGCACCGGACGCGATGAACACGATGGCGAACAAGTACTTCCAGTTGTACCGTCCTTGGGGCGCGGGGGGTCTTGGCCAGAGCTCGCTGCGCATCGAGCACTTGACCTCGCTGCCCACGCCGTCACAGCGAACGGTCACCGAGTCGCCTCTGCCCGCTTCCGGCAGACCGACGGGCACGGTGGGCTGTCCGTGGAAATGGGCCGACAACTGCGCCGGCAAGTACAAACTGACGTTGGCCGGAGGCGACAGCAAGTCGACGCAGCCGAGCGCACCGTCCGGCCGTTCGCCGGTCCGGCAGTCCAACGTCCACGTGCCGCCGCAGTCCAACATGTCGATTTGCGAGCCGGACAACAACAGTCCACTGGACTGCGTGAACGCCGTCACCATGGTGGTGGTCGACCCATTGTAGTTGCCGTGGTCGAACACGGAGTACACCAACCGGCAGATGACCTGCGCCAGCCACACCTTACCAGCTCCGTCATCGTGACCGTTGCCCATCACATTTTCTTTGATTCAACTCAAACGACTCGAGCTAAAAACAATAAGAAAAAAGTGTATTACCGTCAACCCGTCAAATATATTTTACGCTCCTTGCAAATTCAAATTAACACATTGACGGTCATTACTGTTATAGCAGTAATATGATATTTTGACATTTTGGTGGCATTAGTGCTATAGTAGTAATATGAAAAATGCATTTTATGGTATTACAGCTATAGCAGTATTCTTTTCAATGGTGTCAGATGACAAAGGAAACTCGACTATTGTGCGAACCATTCAGTGTTGGAAATTTCAAAAATTATGAGTGTCCATCAACGTGTTAAAAAGTTCACCCCTTCCACTATAAAATTGAGAAAAACACCCTAAAAATGTACACATTTTTCCATTTAAAATTACGGCACGCTATATTTTTTTACACTAAAATATGCATACGTAGTGTGAAACTCCTGTCAATCGAGATTGGTAGACAAATTAGATATGACTCAAGAATTTATTTATTATTTCTTAACAATAACAGGCTATAACTTTTGTTTTTGTTCTAGTCAATTATTATTGTTACTAACAAAAATATAACGATATACGCTTAAAATTACGTAATAAGCATTATTACAAAAATTACATAATTACCTATTTGAATGTATTTGTATATTTTAAGCTTCCTCGCCTTAACGCACGCCAAAAAGGGTCATTCCCCTTATTTATCCTACCACACTTCTCGGCTTAAGAGTCCTCTGTATTTACTGTCTACAGAACTTGTAGACACTGCCGTGTTAATTAATTAATTGGCAAACGGCTTGAACATAGATAAAGCAACTCCAAGATCCATTGGGTTATTTGTATAAGCAATGAAGTAACGAGCAACGGCCGCACTATATTTTAGTAGAAATATATGTAATTAAAAGAAAACGACCGACGGAAAACAGCTGTTTCTAATAAAAAAAAAAAAAAATTTTCTATTCAAAGCACTTAAAAGTAATTAAAATACACTTTTCCCAGTCATATCATAATAACATATAGATAATCGTTAACTCTAAAATATCACGATTTAGAAAATTAATAATGGATCATATTATACTACCCAGCCAATATCTACTAAATACAAATAACTTTGTTAAAAATGACAACATCTAATTCTGAGGTAGCTGATACGGCACGATGGAATTATATTCTTAATACTATCAGTTCAGATGTGATTGCGGCAAAATAAATTCATTAGTTTGCATCAGAAGTTTTGACATTAAACCAATTACATTTTCAGAACAAGAATAATGAAAAAAATATAGTAGTACTCAGACTTTTGAAACTAAAAAAAAGTTAATAATAAAAAAATAATAATTCTTTAATTATAGAAAAATTGGTAATACCTAAAAACTTTTGAATTTTGAAATACTTTCTGGTCAGTGAAAGTATTCTTCTTCTTCTGGCCTTCATAACTCTCCAAGAGTTTTTGCCGCCATAGTGAAAGTATTATTAACATAAAATACGTTAAACGATTATTTTGTTCATACTTAGCTATATTGATTTTTTTTTTTAATATTTTTTAATTATTTTGGACAATAATATAAAATATTGTCTTGATAAAAACCGTTTAAAAACGTTTAGCTCTTTGTACAAATAGTATTCCGAGTAAAAATCTTAATTTGTAAATTATTCAACAATGAATAATAAAAGTAAACAGTAAACCACCGGCGGCAATAAAGTAGTTTTAAAATTTAATTGTTTAATGTCTTAAGTGTTTTGAACCGTTGTTTTGCTGTTTGGGTATGCATAATAAGTCCTAAAATAACTAAAGCAGTAAGTTTTTACCGATATGTTTTTTTTGCTTTATACTCTCAAGTTTAAAATTTAATACAAAATTCAACCAGAGTTGGCAAAAAAAATCTCAGTTGTTTTTTTTCAAGCACAGCAAACGTTTATAATATGTTAATATATACGGTAATATGAGTTTTATAGCGTTGATGTATACCCAAAACCGCTTAATTGAGCCCCAGATTTTTTTTTTAAATCCGGGTTTTCGACAGCTGTAAACTCACACCGATACTCGGATAAGGTTATCTACCTCTGAAGATGGAACTATTGTAACTGAACCAAAACATTTACACGGAAAACACTCAAACCAGTTGACACGCGGTAAGGCAAGTCGATCATTGTATTGCCGCCGATTAAAGTTAAACCGACTGGTAGGACACGCGTTGTTTCTTTAGTTAAGTATCGTTTGGAAGTTATATCATAAAAATAAAAGAAACGTGTAAAAACAAAACTGCGCATGTGCGATACATATAGTGTATCATTTTCACGGGACACGGCTTTTGTTTATGAACGCTGTCCGGGTGAGAAAAAAGAAACTTTTCAATAGTCCGCACACCGGTGTCTCGAGTAAGGTATATTCTGGAGTAGCAGCATTTATCATTCCAAACAGTTCTTACACGGATCGCACGTGGTCATTTACACACGCACCGAGAGGGGTCCCGGTGCTTATCTGTCAGGAAAACGATGAAAACATATTATATCCGGAAGGTAGATATTATTATTTTCCATGCCGTTGTCCGTTCTAGACACAGGACGGTATTCCGGGGCGTGGCGATGCTGAAGGCTCCATTTATAATATTATAATCTACGACGGTGTTTTATTTATCATTGTGTGTGTGTTTAGTGTTGGCGGATCGCCGCGGCGATAAACCCAGCAGTGTGGACTAAAATTACATATGATCAGCTACAAAGGGTCTCTAGTGTTACAATATTCTATTTTCTTGGGCAAAAATGTTTTTTTTTTTTTTTATAAGACCAACAACCCTCTTTGTCCGGCTGATTGGCGAACATTTAAAGGGGAAGTGGAGATTTGAGATGTCTGATCAATTTAACAATATTCTTATTATTTCAAATTACATTGTACCAGCCCCTCCTAAATGAGGCAATGATATAGATACGAATCAATAGCCAAATCTACCAAATTACCAAACTAATTTCTACCAATGCTAAGCAATATTTACCCTACGATGATGACTAACCATTATTATAATGTATAAAGGTTACAGGACGACGTATGTTAATAACGATTTTACATAATATAAAAAAAAAACGTTGATTTAATTACATTACACAAACGGTTTTGGAATCAAGAACCAATGTTTTTTTTGTCGAGTCAGATCGGTTTTAAATTTTTCTCACTTGTCAATTAGATTTATAAATTGCCTTTAAAATTGTAAGCAACTTATAAAAAATTCAATCAAAATGTTCAAATTTTTTTTTAATGATTTAAAAAAAAAATACAAACTCTACATTATTTCTGTTGCTCATTATTTTCAATGCTACCAAGAAACTATTAGAAAATCAGATTGTACACAGAAAATAAGAAAATGTGGGTAACGGTCGATGAAACTGGCGAGGACTGGCGCTGTGTAACAAATGTAATTTTAGAAACTCAAAAAGTCAGTGGCCCGGCAAAACATTTCCTTTTAAATAGTTTAAGAAAAGAACGAACACAGTACAATTTCAAAACTTCACTTACGATAATGTATTGCTTTTTATTAAGTAATGCTGCACAATATTATATGGTGAAAACGAGAAAAGCCATCAAAGTGTTCCATTCAAGAATAGAACATAATAGGTAACAAATAAATGTCAAAATAATCATACTAATGCACTACCTGCTATCAATACAGTCTGATCTGTAATTAAATTGTAGGATAACACTGTTATAACCAAACTAAGCAATAATATAATAATTATGACTATCGCAAATAGAATTATCAATTAATATTTGAATTAAATATATTATGTAACATTAATACTTGCATACACGAAGATTGGTTATTTGAATGCACATGAGTTGTGTATATTAAAAATATAATTCATCATCTAATTAAATTAAATATAAATTAATAAATCGAAAAAATATGTTCTGTATTATTAAAATTCGGCTATAATTTATTATCCGTTTACTTGTTTTTGAATTCATGGAGTTTGTCACATTCTTAATTTCAAATGTGAACAGCTAATCCGTTAGATTAGGTTAAACTGAATTACATTAAATTACAAAGAGTAAAATATAAATAGCACTTTATCTGTGTCCTAGATTCAATCACTATCGAAATTAGGTACCTGTAAATATTTATAGGTATTCTTCCTTAATGGTTAGCACAATGAATTAAAAAATAAATAAAACTTTTTTTGTTGAGTTTATTTATACCGTACAATTTTGTACATTATCAGTTAGCTGATAGCTCAAAAGGAACAACAACTAGGTGTTTTATAAAATCTATTTTTTAACTGTTGAATGTACAAAAAGACCTAAGTATATACATCCTTAAAACATTTATGTTTTTAGAATGAAGATATTTTAAAATTCGTAATAGAGATCCACTTGACACTCACTACTTTTAATATAAACATCAAATATCTTCAAAACTTGGCTCATTAGGACCATGCAACTTTTTTTGTATAAACTGATGATGATTCCACTGTGATATCGGTCGTTTTCGATTGTTTTTACATGTCATCCCTATGTAGCGGTGCTAGGGGTGTCTGACCCTCATAGTATTTTTTCCTGATCACGAGTCATGTGTGCACTGGGTTGAAACTGCTCCGGCCGTTCCAGAGTTATGCTGGAAGGTATATTTGTTTTTAGCTGTTTTTATTATTATATTTTATTATGTCGGGCGAAGGCTGGTAAAGAAAGAAAACCACTTTGGCTAGGTATGTAAAATGCACAGGGCGATACGGAGCCGTCAGTGAATTTAAGTGTGTCAAATATATTATGCATTTTCCTATAAAGGGAATTTTTAACTAAATTGCACACTAGGCTTTCTTTTGTAGCTATTCCGGAGTTGGGTATACCTCGGTTATATAATGCCCTTCTCGGCGACTTCAAGTCGTGATAAATATTATTATCATCACACACATATATACAATGTCGTTGTAATTAAGACGTGGCGTTCTGGAATTTCGTTATACTATTACATGTTGTATACATATACCGTGCAAGGAAACACTACGTCTACCTAATGATAATTAGTACGTATAGTGTTCGTC